ACTTTTTACTCCAACCGGTTGTGCAGTTCCTGCAACCTACTCCCAACCTCCTGATTACATTTGCACACAAGGACCCCTTGAAAATACTGTTGCCGATTTTCTAACTATGATCTACCAGCAACGTGTTCCTCACATAATGATGCTTTGCAGGTAATTCACTCTGATCCTCCCGAAACTGCACCATCTTCATTTGGTCTGAAGGTAGTTTCGAAGATAGAATTTGCAGATAGGATGCAAGACTTAGAAAATGGCCTTTAGGGTTGGGGGTGGAGGAGGGGGGAGGAGGCAAAATGGAACTTTATCAAACTGTTTAGACTCTAATTGTCCATGGGGATCGGTTTTTAAAGCGAAATTTGAAAAGTAAACGTCAATTAGTTGAGTTGGGCAATCACGGACAATTGATCAGAAATGTTTATAAAATAATAGGTGTATCCGTAAACATTGAAAGCCATTGTTACTGGAAAAGACACCATATTTAGAGCCTCCAGATGCTCTTCTCTTCTCATACAGTGTTTCAGGTTTATGCAGGATAAATAACAGATCTCAGAGGGTAAGGTGATCCATCATCAATTCACCCTTCTAGTCGTTTTGAGGCAATTAGGCGTTAAGTAGTCATGTCTGCAATATATTATGTTCCTTCTTCAAAGTCTAGGCAAAGAGTTCAGGCTTCAATCGACTTTTATCACCATTCTTGCATTCCTGCTGCTTTGGAAAATCGACCTGTCATTTCTGGAAAAGTTTAGTCCTTGAATAAAGAGCACCAATTGTGTGGCTATTTTTGGATGTTAGACTAGTATAGACAAACTCACTGGAGGAAGTATTGGAAAAACTTTTTCTCAGTTGGGAAACTCTTTTTGAAATCGTCATTCTCGCACTCGACCAATCGATACGTTATCCTGGCTCAACCATGGCAGCTGGTCATCCACATCATCGTGTGAGCACAGATGATCTCTGATTTGGCTTGTGTACCGGTGGAGCACTACTGCGGATCCTTAAACAGTATTATAATTTTTGATGAAATAGAATTTCCCAAATTATTCGTTTGTATTTAAGGTGTCTGGTTATCTTCTGGTCATCTTATCAAGTGGAGAGTGTAAAATAACGGAACACGTTTGAATATTCATGCATCTAACTGGTCATAACTTAATTTTAAAAATAGGTTACCTTCAGTTTAAGTATGTGCTCTTACTGCTAACACACGTGAATCATAGAAATGGTGGATATCAGATGTCAAAAGTCAAATTCTTTCAATTTATGTAACAAACAATCTACGTAGACTTAGCCTTTATCTGTGTGAATAAAAAACAAAGAGAGTGTAGAATATGTTTTCAATTAATGTTGTGACTTGCCACGAAAGGCCTTAGGCAGTTTTGTGATTTCTTCCATGTCATTCATCTGCCCTTTTCCCTCCATTTCCACTAGAAACGTGGAGGACGAAAGGGATAAGTGTGCTCGCTACTGGCCGAGTGAGCCGGAACAGGGAGCGGTTGAGACATTTACATCGGAGCATCATACTGTTACGGTTACTTTCCTCGAGATTGAACTCCTGGAATCTGGTGTGCGTCGTGTAATCTCCATTCATCCTCATGATGAGAAAGATGTGAGTTTCGTGCAATTTTTCTCTCTCCTAAAGTGTTCGCACCTCTAGGTGTGTTTTACTACTTAAATTTCATTCATCCAGGTTATTGTCAATAACCAATCAATTCGATTAAATACATTGTTTGTTCTTCTCACAAGTGACTGTAGCACCTAATACATAGAGGCGTGAAAAATATTTCCCTTAGTGTTTAAAATGCTTGGGGAGTCCGTCTTTGCCTCCATCTTCAGGAAAGTCTAGTTTAGTTGAGAGAAGTGAAATGCAAGTAATGCAGAAAACGATGTAATTAGCCCATAAGTGATAAAGTGCGGAACATCGGAGGCTAAATAGAGTTCCATGCATATTTGATTATTTTCAAAGATTGGTAGCACTTGAGAATGTGAATAACAGTGACGTGGTTAGGCACTCACTTGATTTAAAACTGTATGGTTCTCTCCGACTATCTCTATGAACTTGGGGAAAGTGAGACGGAGAATATTCGTCCTTCAAGTGGACTTCCTGTGGTTCTGTCGACCCAATCGATTAAAAGAAGCACGCGAGTATGATCCGTTGCATTCAGGACTAGTGAATGAAACTTCGCTCTTCAAACAAGAACTTCTTTGTTGTTATAGAAATTGGCTGTTAGTTTCAAAATTCGGAGTCAGCTGTAATCAAAGAAGTTTGAATCAAAAGTTGAAATTATATGCTTTGCCTTGTTCAGTCAGTTATGTCGCTAAAATATCCTCCCAGTCTTCCACAGCCACTCCATAAACCTAGATGAATGGCATACAGTGGTGTGATTGAATTGTGGTCATCTCCCTGAAAAGTCTAATGGGAATTTGAATTATCTTTTAGCCTTGGACAGTCACACAAATTCAAACTTTCGTGTGGGAAGATTTAAAGTGTATGGAAATGGATGAATACTATGAATTGCTGAAACTGCACATGGAACTCAATACCAAATACCCAATAGGCGAATATGGTCCACCAGTAGTTCACTGCAGGTTAGTGAAGTTGTCAATACAATCAGTAGGATTGGTGTATGGTGAATCAACTAATTGTTATATTTATTTGTCACACTTTCAGTGCTGGTGTTGGCAGAACAGGAACACTTATTTGTGGACGATTCCTTCTTGAACAACTGAGAAGAGATCCCTCGAAAATTGATGTAGTGGGTACAGTGTTGGCTTTGCGACGATGGAGAATGCTTACGGTGCAGACTATAGTGAGTTGATGAATTTTGAAGATACTCATACTCCATTGATGCCTAGTTACCGATTTATACCCATACATCATCTGTTTATGTGTTAACTTCAGG